TTATAATAAGTTTTGGTTTTACTCAATTACTGGGCAAGCCTCAATCAAACATTTCACTATTAGGATAAGAGTTTATACTGTATCAAGCTGATAATAGAAAAATAAATAAGTAAAAATGGGGGGAAAAAGAAAAAAAAAGTTGCTGTGGTTGCCAGGTGGTGGCAGTGGCGGCACACACCTTTAATTCCAGCACCTGGGAGGCAGAGCCAGCCTGGTCTACAAAGCAAGTTCCAGGATAGCCAGGGCTACACAGAGAAACCCCGTCTCAAAAACAAACAAACAAACAAAAAGGAGTTGCCATGGCCATGGTTGTCTCTTCACAGCGACAGAAGTTCTAATTAAGACAAGTGGTATATAAGTCCATAAATTTAATGAGAAGCATTCCAAGAGTATGTATATACACAAATAAATAAAGGCAAAAAAAACCCCTACAAACAAAATTGAGCAATCATGTATAATCCCAGCATTCATGAGGCAGAGAGGCACATGAGACTTTACCTCAAAAAGGGAGAAGGTGGTATGGCATGATGGCTCAGCTAAGGATTAAGGCACTTGCTATGAAACCTGATGACCTAAATTCAACCCCTGAGACCCACTGGGTAGAATCGACTCCCAGTTGTCCTCTCACCTCCATAGAGGTTCTGGCATCCATATCAGGGCAAAAGTATGTTGACACACATACGTGTGGCGTACATCTTCCACACCAGGCCCTCTGGAGGCAGAGGCAGGTGGATCTCTAGAGTTCAAGGCCAGCATGGTCTATAAGAGGGAGTGCCAAGACAGCCAGGCCTACATAGAGAAAGTCTATCTTGAAAAACAAAAAACAAACAAACAAAAAGTACTTCAGATTGAGTGTGGGCACATGTAATCCCAGCACTACAATTGTGTTCTTTGAATTTCAGAACAGCCTGAGCTACACAGCAAGTTTGGGCCAGCCCAAGCTATACAGCAAGACCACATATCAACGACTGTAGGCTTGGCCAGGCATAGTGGTGAACGCCTTTAATCCCAGGACTCAGGAGATGGGGCAGCTGTATCAAGGCCATAACTATCCACATAATAAGTTTCAGGCTAACCAAGGATGCATAGTGAGAGTCTGTCTCAACATAAACAAAAACATAACACAAAGATTATAGGCTTGGAACCAGACTCCCTGGTTCAAATTTCATCTATATTTATAATCAGCTCTGTGGTCCTGCACAAGATATCCAACTTGTTTATGTCTCAGTTTACCCTGCTATAAAATGGGAATATTATAATTACCTACCTTTGTTAATAAATAAAACACTCGTGTCAGTGCTTGGTAAATGTTCAGTAAGCATTAATCTCCCTCCTTCTTGTTATATACTGAGGTGTTTGACTTTAGAAGCTAAGAAGCTGGTCAGTCATTAGAGCATTACTCTACAACAGATACCCAAAAAGCCCCAAAGGTAGCTCTTCTCTGGAAGGGTAAAACACAAGAAGCTGTGGAAGTTGGCACATTAGGCTCCTCTGTGGATGCAAAGGTGATCCAAAAACAGAGACCGATGATTCCCAGAACAAACCAAGATGTGTTCTTAGGCCAAAAAGTGGACCACAGCGGGCTTAGATTCTGTATGGCCCAGCTGCACATCACTAAAAGCTGCCCTATACAGGGCCAAGTGATTCAGCACTCAGCTGAAGGGGTGGGTTGGAAAGCAAAGTCTTCTCACAGGCAAGCTTGACAGCTCAATATTCCAGAATTCAGCTACCTTTCAGTCTACCTCGAGGTAAGAGCCAATCCCTTCCTGCAATCTGGACTTCAATGCCACAGGCAGCAGCTTAGTTCATTGGACAGTTTTGTATTTGCTTTTTTTGCGGGGGCTGGGGGTGGAGGGCAGAGGATCTTGCTGTCCTCAAAGTCCTGAGTTCAAGTGATTATCCTGCCTAAGCTTCCTGAGCCTTCGGTGCCACAGACAGATGTAATAGGAGTCTAAGTGTTTTATTTTCTGATGTTGCTGTAATCCTGAACCCAAGGCCTCCACTAGACTACACCCTCAGTCCAAGTGTTTGTATTTTATGAACAGGACTCAGAGATTTCCTTATACTCTCAATTAAAAAAAAATGTAAGTTAATATCTGATACTCTAGAAAGCACCAAGGACAGATGTTTAAATCTGAGAGCACTTAGCAACATTCCCCCCATTGTCTATCATATCATAAGCTTCTTCAAGAAACTGTAATCTCCCTTTGATAAACCATGAAAATTAGTCTTGACTCAAATCAAGGTAGTATAATTTTTTTTTGTTTTTCTACACAGGGTTTCTCTGTGTAGCTTTGGAGCCTTTCCTGGAACTCACTCTGAAGCCCAGGCTGGCCTCGAACTCACAGAGATCTGCCTGGCTCTGCCTCCCGAGTGCTGGGATTAAAGGCGTGCGCCACCACCGCACGGCTAAAGAAAATATATATATTTTTTTTTTTTTTGTTTTTCGAGACAGGGTTTCTCTGTGTAGCTTTGCGCCTCTCCTGGAACTCACTTGGTAGCCCAGGCTGGCCTCGAACTCACAGAGATCCGCCTGGCTCTGCCTCCCGAGTGCTGGGATTAAAGGCGTGCGCCACCACCGCCCGGCGAAAATATTTTTAAAACAAGTACAGAACTAACTGGCCTAATAAATAAAGTGGTATTTGTAGATTTCCCAGCAACCCTTTTCCTGCTTCTTTTTCTCTAGATAGCCTTAATAGATATCAAAATGCCACATTTGTAGACAGCTAGCTATGAGCATTTCTCTATTTGAGTTCAATGACAGCTAACAACACATTTATCAGAAGTCAGACTGTTATTCATTACCTGTGCCTTACACACACACACACACACACACACACACACACACACACACACACACACACACACACACACACACTGGCTGCCTCAAATGTTTACCCTACTCAAAACCAGTACTATCGGGCTGGAGAGATGGCTCAGAGGTTAAGAGCACTGACTGCTCTTCCAGAGGTCCTGAGTTCAATTCCCAGCAACCACATGGTGGCTCACAACCACCTAATGAGATCTGGCTCCCTCTTCTGGTCATACATGCTGTATACATAATAAATAAATAAATCTTTAAAAAAAAAAAAAAAAAACCAGTACTATCACAGATAACCCATATGTACACATACATACATATAAACCATGTGCTGCGAACACACCAGCTCAATCTGTCAGTCCTGTGAAACAAAGGTTTGAGAAAGCCAACTGGACACAATCAGTAGACTGGCCAGCGCCATCAGCCAGGCTGGAGCCAAGGAAGGCATATCACAGACACTGGCCACGCTGGTCTGACAGGCAGCTCAGCACTTGGCAGCATTGCTAGTTACACAGGCCATCTCCAGGGAACTCCTCAGCCTGGGGACTACTCCTTGGGGCCCCACAATGGGAGGCCAGGGGCTGTTGATGGGCATCACCTTCCTATTTCTGGAAAGGCCTGTACTGCCTTTCACCTTCTGACTTACAAGGCCAGAACACGCAGGACACACAAACACAACCAGCTCTTGGTTCTTTACTACCAAGACTGGGCAGGGCCAGTACCTTCTCAGGCAGACACCTCCATTCAGCAGGGCCTGAGGTAAATGGGAGCCCAAGGCCCACCTTCCACTAGAAGGCAGAAAACTCATCATCGTGGTCTCCATACTTGATCCTACTGTGACGCAGCCCTGTGATCTAGGCTCCACTTGAGCTACACAAGAGTGTGGACGCAGACTGTAAGGGATGAGTCAATGGGGGACTTGAATACTAGTCTGCTGGCTTTCTTTCTCATTCAGAGTCCACAAAATCCAAGCCAAACTTCAGAGTGTGTTCTAATCAAATCCATTTTCTTTTTTTTTTTGGTTTTTCGAGACAGGGTTTCTCTGTGTAGCTTTGCGTCTTTCCTGGAACTCACTCTGTACCCCAGGCTGGCCTCGAACTCACAGAGATCCACCTGCCTCTGCCTCCCGAGTGCTGGGATTAAAGGCGTGCGCCACCACCGCCCGGCTGAAGTTTCTTTTTTCAAAGATGATTTATTTCTATTTTTTGTGCATTTGGTGTTTTGTCTGCATGTATGTCTATGTGAGGGTGTCAGATCCCCTAGAACTGGAGTTACAGTTATGAGCTGCCATGTGAGTGCTGGGAATTGAACCCAGGTCCTCCGGAGGAGCAGCCAGTGCCCTTAACCGCTGAGCCACCTCTCCAGCCCCAGGCCCTTCCTTTTAAGGAAGAAGAAACTGAGGCCCAAGGTCACACACAGTGAGGGGGGGGGAAATCAAGGACATGGACCTGTTTTTGGGTCAAGGGCTGTTTCCAGTAAACCACTGGCGCTCAGCAGGGTTCTGAGCACCACTCCCCTTCGGTTTTTTTTTTTCCCACCTGTGACCCCCCATCCTCACCTATCCAAACCCTTCCCAGCCTCCAATTCCCACCGGATCGCTCCCGTTCCCCGCGCCTAGCCCCGCCGCCGGCAGCAACACGCTCCCACCCTCCCACCCACCCAATTCTTCTCAGCTCCTCCTGGCTCGCTCGCCCCAAAGCTCGCCGGCTGCACCCCCGCCCTCGTCGGGCCCGCCCGCCCGCCACAGGCCCCGCCCCTCGCCGGCCCGGCTTCCCCACCGTGGCCGCACACACGCCCCGGCCCTCTCACCGGTAAAGCCGCTTGGTGTGGAGGACCTTTGCTTCTGGTTCGCTGCTCTCCACCGGAGGGGGGCCTTGGCTCATGGTGCCTAGGCCCGGGGGCGCCTCCTGGTCACAGGCCCCCGCCACCCACCACTGGTTCCTCCACTGCCGTCTCCAGCCGTAGCCGCAGCCGCCACCGCCGCCGGCCCTGCTCGGCCGCCATCGCTGTGAGGCGGCTGCCTGAGACGGCTCCTCCTCCGCCTATCAAATCTCGCGATAGCTGCCGCAGAGCGGCGGGCCGGTGACCGCTCCAACCAAATCTCGCGAAGGATTGGTTCCTCTCCGGGAAGTTACCCGAAACTAACTCTGGGCAGCATGGCTTCTGCTGGGTTTGGCTGACGTCCTTGAGGAGAAAACCTTATTGTCGAAGATGTCCGAGAAACCGGGCGTCCTAGAGCAGGCTTATCGCCCTAGCCCTTAGGGAGCCTAGGCAACCTGCAGCAAGTTCCCAGGCCGCTACCGTAGCGAGACCCCTGTTTTCAAAAAATAAAAAGTACCAAATTTAAAAAGAGCGCGCTGGCGAGGTGACTCAGCGGATAAAGGCGCCTGCGGCCAACCTGAGCTCGACCCCTGGCACCCACGTGGTGTAACGTGAATCGACTCAGGCAAGTTGTCCTGACCGCCACACACGTGCTCCACGGCATGTCCCCACCCCGTGATGAAATGTGATTTTTAAAAAAGTTAAAAGTTCCCAGGGAAGGAAAAAAAAAAAAGACTGTAGCGTGAACAGCTCTAAAGAGGACAGCGAGGGGGAGATGGCTCAGAGGTTAAGCGCACTGGCTGCTCGTCCAGAGGACCCGGGTTCAATTTCCAGCACCCACATGACCGCTCGCAACCATTTGTAACTCCAGTTCCAGGGGATCCGACACCCTCACACAGACACACAGGCAGGCAAAACACCAATGCACAGAGAGTAAAAAATTAATAATTTAAAAATAGGACAGCTACCCCCAAGACACAGAAATCATTGCAGAAGCGGGGCCGCGAGAAGATTTTAAGAGTGGAGATCTGTATCACAACAGTCCTTGCCAGACATGGGAGTGGTTGACAGGGACTCACAGAGCCTGTGACTGTGACCCAGCATGGATGTGGGGAGAAGGACTAGAAGGTGATGGCTGCTGGGGAGGGACAGTGGTTTTCGCTTGTTTGCTTGTTAAGGAATTCCTCCAGAGACACTAGTTTCTGGGGATCAAATTCAGGTAATCAGGCTTGGTCGTAAGAACCTTACCTGGTAAGCCATCTTGCCAGCCCTATAGCTTTCTTAACCATAAACCTAGAAACAGGGTGTTTGGGGTCCTGTATGTATACACATTATCATGGCGATGTATGTACCACTATGCTCCTGGCTCCAGCCACCAAGCCGCCTTTCTCTTCCTAACACAGCCTGACGTCGTTTCTGTCTGTCGGCCCTTGACTTGCAGTTCCTCTACAACGGAACAGTCATACTCCTGAACGCCCATTGGGTTTCGACTTAAATGTCACCTTAAAGAGGCTTTCTCTTACTGAAATTCTCTTACTGATTCAGTGTGATGTTGTTGTTTGGTTTTTCAAGACAAGGTTTCTGTGTAGTCCTGGCTGTCCTGGAATTTGTTCTGTAGACCAGGCTGGTCTACTCATTCACAAAGATCCACCTGCCTCCGCCTCCTGAGTGCTGGGGTGGGATTAAAGGCATGTGCACCAGCACTCCCAGGCTCAGTGTGAATGTTTAAGGCCTGTTACCCCAGTAGCTAGAAACCTCGATTGTCACTTTGTTCTCTTCTGTCCCTGTGCCTAAAATAGCACTTGTTGGTTGGAATTGTTTTTTGTTTTTGAGACAGGGTCTCTCTATGTAGCTCTGGCTGTCCTGAATCTTGGCTTCTAGACCAGCCTGTCCTCAGACTCATAGAAATCTGCCTGCTTCTGCCTCCTGTGCTGGGATTGAAGGAGTGCGCATCCCAAGAACAGCACATTATTAAATAAAATAGATACACATTTACAGAAAGAACAAACTGCAAGTGTGGTCTTTTCCCAGCTTACTCTGAGTACCCTTTGGCATACAGACCCACTTTTCCCCTGACGCTTTCCTGAACTGGAAGCTCTTACACATCCCAGAACACCTGAAGTCCACACCTCTGTGTCCAGCTACACCCTCACTTTCAAAACGGATGACATCCTCCTTTAGCACTCTTCCAGTTGGCAGATTCTGTAGGGCAGGGCCTGCGCCTTTAATCTGAGCCCCACCTGCTCTGGTCAGACAGGTTTGGAGACACAGGTCAGGGGAGGGAGACTGGGAAATACTTGCTGAGCCAGCCCGGAGCTAGGCAGTTCCTTTCCGGGGATCCTCCGCCTCTCCGCAGATGTAAAGTAAGAGGGTATGGTGGGTCCAAAGGGCAGGGGTAGGAGGGGCCCTAGAAGTGAACAAAGAGAAAGAGTCTGCCCACAAGCAGTGGACTGGAAGGTGGCCGGGAGGAAAACGCAGGAAGGCCTGGGAACAGCCGCACTAGAGCTGAAAGTCTGAGTGCAGCCCAGCCCGGCTGAGTTGGGTGAGCCTGGCAAGGGGGGCGTTTAGAAAATGACTGGCTCCTGGAATGGGGACTGAGGAACTGGGTAGCTGGCAACTGGTATCAGCTGCCAAGAGAGTTCAGGCGGGCATCTGCGGGGCAAAGGGCAAGTGGAAGGGTGAAGGGCAGTTTCTCTCTAGCATGATGCTGAGTTCCTCCCACTCCAAAGCCAGAGTGGCCATGAGTCCGGGGGTTTTGGTGGAGAGAGTAGAAGGCTGGTGTGGGCGTAGGCTGAGGCCACAGCTGCCAGGGCTTGTGCCCCTGACTCAGCCCCGTCCTGCTGGATGTGTTTCTCCATTTCAGCCCTCCGCCGCCGCCGCCGCTGCCCTCTCTGTCTCAACTCGACCTTCCTCCACACTGTTCTCTCTAGAGTCCCATGAGGCCGGCTGCTCTGGTGAGTTCCAGTCTGAGGAACTGTCCCGGGGCCAGAAGACAAGGTATTTTCACAGAACTTACCCACTCCCTTTAGGATGGTATCACCTTGGGATGGACCTCAGAACTGAAGCCTCCTCGCAATGACAGAACCAGAACCAGAGACACTGGCCCTGCTGGAAATGAAGGGGCCCGAGGGTCCAGAGAAGAGCCCACCACAGGCTTTGGTCCCCACCGGCCGGCAGCCAGAGGGAGAAGGTGGGACTGAGTCCCCTGGAGCCGAGTCTCTCACCGTGGCGTCTTCAGTTGGTTCTCCCATAGTCAGAGAGGGGCCCGAGGATGGTCCAGACAGCACTGTGAGTGAGGCCGCGACTTTGCCCTGGGGAACCGACCCCCAGGCCAGCGCCCCACTTCCGGACCCCCCAGGCTGGCGAGATATTGAACCAGAACCCTTAGAGTTGGAACCACTCACCAGGTCGGAGGACCCACTCAAAGACGATGCCAACTTGCTCCTTGAGAAGACAGTGAGGGCCTTCGTGCCCATCGACTTACAGTGTATCGAGCGGAAGCCACAGGAGGAGCGCATTGTGCATCGGGAGGCCGGACAGGGCGAGCGCAGGAACTTCCTGCCGGCCCGACTCAGCCACCCCGAGCCTGCAGAGTGCAAGTGGGCTGAGGCAGTTGTGAGACCCCCTGGCCGGTCCTGTGGGGGCTGTGGGAGCTGTGGAGGCCGCGAGGCGCTGAGAGCCGTGGCCTCGGTGGTGGCTGCCCTCATCTTCTTCCCCTGCCTGCTGTATGGGGCATATGCCTTCCTGCCCTTCGATGCTCCGAGGCTGCCCACCATGAGCTCCCGCTTGATCTACACCCTACGCTGTGGGGTCTTTGCCACCTTCCCCATCGTGCTGGGTGAGTCTGGGCCGTGGAGAGGGCTACCTAGGAAGTGGCCGAGAGGGGCTTGGTTGGAGTGGTTTCTCTTCATTCTGCTGGAACCACTCAGGGCGTCCCAAACCCGCCACTCTCTGCTCCCTCTCTTGCAGAGAGCGCTTGTGTCCTCTCTGCAGTCCTGACCCAAGAACCATCTTCCAGAAACCCTGCCCAGCCCTCCTGCCGGTTCTGACCCCATGTGCTTCCTCCCCTGCCAGGGCTCCTGGTCTACGGGCTGAGTTTGCTGTGCTTCTCTGCCCTCCGGCCCTTCGGAGAGCCGCGGCGGGAAGTAGAGATCCACCGGCAGTATGTGGCCCAGTCCGTGCAACTCTTCATCCTCTACTTCTTCAACCTGGCCGTCCTTTCCACCTATCTGCCCCAGGACACCCTCAAGCTGCTCCCCCTGCTCACCGGCCTGTTCGCAATATCTCGGTGAGCAGGGGCTGTGGTGGCCACGGCTAGGGCAGGCGGGAGGGAAGTGAAGGTGGTGTTAGAGCCTTCCGGGGGCTGCAGGTCTGGAGACCTGAGGTCGGGGTTTCTGCATGTGCACCATGCAGCCATGAGTCTACCCTGTCTCTTGCGCTTCGCTGGGTAGCCAGCAGGTGGTCAGCTCCCATCTTCCTTTCAGAAGTTGATCTCAGAGGCTTGCCAGTGGGGAGCTTTTGAATGTTGTTTATCTTGGTACACAGAACCTATTGCCTCATACATCTAAGCACAGGACTGACCATCCTAACCTCAGGTGTCATTTAGTATGTCCACTGAAGGTGCTCCTCTAGTCTGTGACACTCCATTCAAATAGCTTTAAAAATTGGCTATAGGGGACATTTTTTTATAAAGATTTAATTTATTTATTATGTATACAGTGTATACATGTATGCCTGCAGGCCAGAAGAGGGCGCCCGATCTCATTTCAGATGGTTATGAGGCACCATGTGGTTTCTGGGAATTGAACTCAGGACCTCTGGAAGAAGAGCCAACTCTCCAGCCCCCGTGTGGGACGTTTTCTGCTTTATTTTGCTTGAGACAGTCACCATCTCACCATGCAGCCTGGACACAAACACTTGGCAATCCTCCTGTCTCAGCCTCTTAAGTGCTGGGATCACCCCCTTTCCGGGTTTAAGAGTTCTAATTGCTAGAAAGTTCTTCCTTATACAGTGCTACAAACTGCCCTAAAGGCGATGTAGTGGCTGCTCAGGCCTGCAATCACAGTACTTGGAAGACTGAGATAAGAGAGCTGCCCAGCCAGGCGGTGGTGGCGCACGCCTTTAATCCCAGCACTGGGAGGTGGAGACAGGCGGATCTCTGTGAGTTCGAGGCCAACCTGGGCTACAGAGTGAGTTCCAGGAAAGCGCAAAGGTACACAGAGAAACCTGGTCTAGAAAAACTAAAATAAACAAACAGAGAGAGAGAGAGAGAGAAAGAGAAAGAGAGAGAGCGCTGCCCAGAGTTCAAGCTAGCCTGAACTGCATAGTGAGTTCTGGGCCAGTCAGTCTCAAAAAACAAAATGAGCAGAGGCAGGCAGATCTCTGAGTTCGAGGCCAGCCTGGTCTACAGAATGAGTTCCAGGACAGCCAGGACTACACAGATAAACCCTGTCTTGAAACCATCCCCCCAAAAAAGAAAAGGAACAAATAAATGAACTTGTCTGATGCCGAGCTTACACAGATCAGTTACTGCACTCGAACGGTCTCCTCTTCGTGGTTAAATGGCTCCGGCCCCTCCCTCTCTGGCAGGAAATCTTCTTGTCGGTGAGCAGAGCCTTGGTTAAGGGCGCTGACCTCTTTACCCAGAGGTAGTTTGTGCTCATGGCAGTCTTATTACTTTTCTTTCATTCAATATGGAGTCATCGGTGAGTTTTATTTTATTTTAGAGACAAGATCTCAAACTGTAGCCCACACTGGCCTGAAACTAGGTAAATCAGTCTGACCTCAAACTCTCTGCAATCTTCCTGCCTCAGCCTACTGGGTATTGAAAGTGAGCTTTGGATTTGTTTTGTTTGAGACAGGGTCTTTACATAGCTCGGGCTGTCTTGGAACTTTAGACCAGGATAGCCTCAAACTCAGATTCGGCTGCCTTTGGCTCCTGAGTGCTGGGATTAGGAGCCTGCACCACCACACCCAGCAGAATCTTGGTTTCTTTATCTGCAGAGGGTAAATAGAAAACACACTGGAGCTGTCTAAGAATGAGAACAGAGCCTGGTGTGCAGTGGCACGTAGTCCCAGCCACCACTCAGGAAGCAGAGGCAGGAGAATCAGTCCGTGTTCGAGGCCAGACAGGGCTGCACAGTGAGAGTCTAGCTCCTAAACAGACCAGAAATGAAGGAAACAGCTGGGAGTGGGGGAGACTCTGGACCAGGGTGCAGCTCAGTTAACTGAGTGTATGCCTGGCATGCATGGGTTCTAGCTTCTCCCAGCCCCCTGGGGGAGTGTGCCTGTAATCCCTTCATTTGGGAGGGTGAAGGCAGGGCTGGGGGTGGGTGTGCCCTGGGGATACAGCTCAGTGGTAGACCACTTGCCTACCTTTGTGAAGCCCTGGACCACAACCAAGTTTTTGTTAATATCTATAAAATAGAAATGACTCAAGAAACTGTAGAACTGGATGCCTAGGGTGGAGTATCAGAAAAGGGGAAGACAAGCTTGGTTGGTTTTTGGTTTTGTTTTTGTTTTTCGAGACAGGGTTTCTCTGTGTAGCCCTGGCCATCCTGGAACTAGCTTTGTAGACCAAGCTGACCTCAAACTCAAGAGATTGCCTGCCAAGTGCTGGGACTAAAAGTGTGTGGCACCACTACCCGACAGGGGAGGCCAAAGTTGATTTCTCTTTTAATTCTGAATCACGCAAATGAACATTTAATTGTAATTTAATCAAAAACCAAATTAATTGGGAAAGTAAACACTGGGAACATATATATTAACCGTATGTGTGTTTGTAGTAGTTAGCAGTAGTCCCAAGTAGCACCAGCCTTGGCACCCGCTCCCCTCTGGTCTCCAGCTGTCTGCCCCTGACCTCTTGGCTGGGCCCTGGGGAGTAGATAACCCTTGTCATGCTTCCAAACAGGCTGATCTACTGGTTGACGTTTGCGGTGGGCCGCTCCTTCCGAGGCTTTGGCTATGGACTCACTTTCCTGCCGTTGTTGGCCATGCTGATGTGGAACCTCTACTACATGTTCGTGGTGGAGCCGGAGCGCATGCTCACTGCTTCTGAGAGCCGCTTGGACTACCCGGACCACGTTCGATCCCTCTCTGACTACAGGCCACGCTCATGGGGCTGAGCTGCTCTAGGGCTGTGCAGGGTCTTTCAGGCCTTCCCTGAACCAGTTGCAGGCCTGGCCTTTGCCCAGATCCTGGACCTTCGATGTGAGGAACCTTGCTACTGCCCCATAGGGGCCCCATCCAACGGGGCCCAGACACCCCAGTTCTCTCCTAGCTGTTGCGTTACCCCTGGAGCGCAAGAGCCTAGGGAGAGACTGGAGAAGCACGCTTCCTTCTTGGGCAGCCTCCCACCATGCCACACTAAGGCTAAGGCTGGATGGCTACCTCACTCCCCAGCTTCCTGTGGGCCAGAGGTACAGAGCCACAGCCCAACCCAAACTGTCCTTTGCCAGCTGTCTAGATGAAAGGTCAAGGAGATGGAAAAACTGCCTAAGCCCAAGAGTAGAGGTTGGTATCACATCAGATAAGGGCTTCGATATCTTTGACATTGGGTGAAAACCTTCCTAGGGGGCCTGGGTTCAAGGCCCTCTCTACCACTCGACTGGCTTCAAGGCTTTTTTGCCTCAGTCAAAACTATTATAGCTGTTGCCTTCCCTCTCCCAACCTGCATGGGTCCCTGTAACCTTCCACTTTTCAAACTTCCAAGAAGTCCCATTATAAAAAAGGTGGGGTGCAGAGATGAAACCTCCGAAAGAAGTGTGTGTGTATGCACATGTAGTGGCTGGGATGGCAGAGAGACTGCCTGCCCACTTACATGTGTGAGTATGTAATAAATCACTGCCAGCCTCCCACGGCTCTTTCTTCCTGCTAACCCCCAACACCCTCAAGGCACAAGCCACCTCCTAAGCATCCAGTTCAAGGGGTGGAGGATGGTTAACAGAGCCTTGGGGAGAAACCACTAGGATTGGTGAGAAAATGTACCCTCAACAGAAATTGCCTTCCAAGCCTATTTCTCAGTCTTTGCATTTGCTGAAACCAGCCAGGCATGGTGGCGCACGCCTTTAATCTCAGCACTCAGGAGGCAGAGCAGGCGGATCTCTGAGTTTGAAGCCAGCCTAGTCTGCAGAGTGAGATCCAGGACTCCACAGAGAAATGCTGTCTCAGAGAGAGAGAGGGAGGACGGGAAGGAGAGGTCCCCCGTCTGGGCTGGAGAGATGGATGGCTCAGTGTTAAGAGCATCTGTTGCTCTGGCAGAGGACCCTGGTTCAGTTCCCATTACCCCTATGGTGGTTTACAACCATCCGTTAACTCCAGTTCCAGGGGATCTAGTGCCCTCTTCTGACCTCTACAGGCAACACACACACACACACCCACCCATACAAGCAGACAAAACATTCACACATATAATAAAATACATAAGTCTCATTTAAAAATAAGAAATTGGAATCTTTTATGGAAAAAGTATCTATTTCATGCCCCTTAGGGCAGCCAACCAGTCATTCTCATTGCAGACCTTCAAGTTTTATCCACAGGGAAGGGGAGTGGTAAGTGACAGAGGAGGAAACTCCAGTAGGGCCCTTCCTCGTACCAGTAATTCCAGCCTCTCCCTCGGGTAGGAAGGACATCACCCAGGGAGCCCCCAGCAGTTGAGGCTGGCTTCTGAGGTTCTGCAGAAAAGCAGATCACAACACTGACCCTCTACCATCCGACAGTTCGAGGCCCAGCAAGGCGGGTGTGGTCCTGCCTTTCCCTCTGGAGAATGGGTTTCAGTTTATGGACTGGTACTCAGAATACTGCTTGTGGCACAGCAGCAGAAACAGGCCTCCCCCCAGCAACATGAGTCCTGGGGTTCCCAGGGCCACTGCCATGATTCCAAGGACTAGTGGAGATAAGGCATCCACTGGAGGGATGCCCACTCCCAGAAGCATTGACCTAGAGCGAGAAGGTTAAAAAAAAAAAAAAAAAAAGAGGTAAACAAGCTTAGGAAGGGAGGCTAAGGGGCTCAGCCTCCTCCACTGTGACCTCCCCAAATCCTTGGTTCTTACCAGGAGAGGTAGTGTTGGTCCCAGTAGCCAGGGCCTGTGGGATCCCCAAATGTCAGATTGAAGGCACAGAAGTTGTTCGGGGACCCAAAGAATGCTCGGACAATAGGTGACTGAGGGAGAGAATATGCCAAGGTGGGGTGAAGGGCGGAAGCCTGGCAGGAGAGGGCTGAGTCTCGGCCCCGCTGCTTCTGAGAGAAAGCCACTGGTCGCCACTGCACGAAGCCAGATGGTGCGGAGCCCCACAACAACTGGTCCAGCTGGAGAGGCAAAGGAGGCAGGTGAGATGGACCAGCCTGGGCTAACCCGTGTTCCCCCTCTCCCAGACTGCATGCCACTAGCAGTACAAGCACTAAGGCCAGTAGGAGTCCCCAGTACTGAGCATGGTTCTGGAATCGAGCAGGGCCCAGTCTCTCCAAACACAGCCAGAGCCTGGCCGCTCTGCCCTTGCTCCCTCTGGGCCCCAGGTTAAGGAGAATCCCTTCTGAAGATCATGAAGCACTGTTTTTGTCTGCTTCCTCGGAGGGCAAGAGATGTCAGGCGATACATTAGTTCAGCCCAACACTACAAGGAGCCAGAGAAAGTGTTAAAAAATAAATGGGGGTCCGTGTGTGGTGGCGCATGCATCTAATCCCAGCTCTCAGGAGGCAGACGCAGATGAACTTCTGTGAGTTCAAGAGTTCAAGGCCAGTCAGGACTACGGAGGGAGACCCTATCTTAAAAACAACAACAACAAACAAACAAACAAAACCCTTTAAAAAATGGCTGGTGGTGGCCGCTGGTGCTATGGCTCGGTGACTGAGAGCTTGCTGCTCTTGGAGAAAACCCAGATTTAGTTCCCAGCACCCATGTCAGGAGGCTCATAACCATTTGTAATTCCAGCTCCAGGGGATCTGACGCCCTCCTCTTGCCTCCCCCAGGAACTTGTACACACACTCAGACACACATACAAACTAACAAATCTTTTTTAACACTAATACATGGTTGGTTGAGTTTCTGGGGTGTTAACAGGATCCCACTTCTCTCCCCGCCCATCTACCTGCCCCTGGAAACCTGACCTGGAAGACAGCAGGTGCGTACTCGTCATCGATGGAGTGCAGCTCTTTGACTGTGGGGCAGGCAGCGCCCGTACCCAAGGCGGCTACCTCTAGGCCGAATCGGGAGTGGTTTCCACGAGGAGAAGCTCCAGCCAGGGTAACTTCTAGCTGGCAGGCATCTGCTGTGTGCAGGAGACGAGGGGGCTGGGCAGGTCGGCCAGATCCAGAAAAGGCCTGGACCTAGGAAGGAGAAAGCCATGTGGGGAGATCGGAGCTTGAAGGATATTCCCATCCTCATAAATCAGCTTTTTTTGTTTTTGTTTTTGTTTTTCAGAGACAGGATTTCTCTGTGTAGTTTTGGTACCTGTCCTGAATCTCGCTCTGTAGACCAGACTGGCCTCGAACTCACAGAGATCCTCCTGGCTCTGCCTCCCAAGAGTGCTGGGATTATAGAAGTGCGCCACCACCGCCCAGCATAAATCAGCCTTTTGAGTTCCTTCCCCATAGCCTCACCTTCAAGGCCAGGCTGCCATTGGCAAATGCTCCAGCAGGGTCATCTACAGGATGGCCTTGAAAAATGGTGCTCAGAGTGGCAAGATCCAGTGAGTTGTTGACATTGTTCCAGGAGAACTCAGCCAAGGAATAGGGAGGGTATGGTTTTCCTGAGGGCTGGGCTGCCCCCTCGGGCACCCTGGTGCTGTCAAACTCAAGCAGCTGGGGACAGGGTGAAGTGGAATGGGGCTTGCCTCCCTCTGGCTTTCTCTTGAATATTGTTCCCGCTCAACCCACCCCAAACTGCACCCACTTCACCCCCTGTCTTAAACCCTCCCCTCTCCCTTGAGATAGATGAACTCCGTCCCTGGGTTCTTCTCTCTGAGCTCTTCCAGCCCCCTCACCCTGGTGAAGACAAGAGCAGACGAAAACTGGATGCTGTTCTTGGGGAGCACCATCAGACCCCCCTCAGGATCAGGAGACAGCAGGAGACTCCAGTTGACACTCAGGACACTCTGAGTGGTATTGGTGGCCACCAGCACCACAGCTGGAGGCCCTAGGGTGCTCCATACGTAGTGCAGGGTAGAGTTGGTGCCCACTGCCTGGATATGAAGCAGGTTCTGGGGAGTTGGGGATCCAGAAACAACCTCCATAGACACCTGGAACGTGGGGTAGTGGGGTGGAGAGAACAAGATCAGGGATGATCACAGGCAAAGCAGCAGGTCCTGGGCAATGCAAAGGCCTTTGAGGACTAGACAAGAGGATGTGTGGAAATTGAGGGGCTCTTGGAATCAGGGGCAGATGTAGGGTTGAGAAGAAACAGGGTAGATTCAGGATTACCCTGACCCTGGTAAGGAGATCAAAGCTCAGGGCTGAGAAAGCTTTTTAAATCCCCAAACTTGCCTGTTCCTGAGCTACACTAGCTGAACCGTGGTTGACACCACCAGAAGGCAGGAAGCAGTCATGTGGGCTCTCTTCACAATCCTTCCCATCACTCATGGCTCCATGCTTACTCTCTGGGTTGACACCTCTCTAGCCTCCACCCTCCACCCCTCTGTTGCCCCAGATTCCTGTCATTGTGGACAGGTTGTATTTCTGGAATCATCTGTTACTTTAATTTCAGAACCCTTACCTGGCGAGTCTCTTCTCCCAACATGCCAAATGGAGCTGCACACACAAGACTCAAAAGGAGCCATGGGGTGGGGCCACAGGGGACCCAGCCCCAGTAAGGTCCCCAACAGCGGCACATACAGCTGCACCAACTTTAACTCGGCGGAAGAGGCTCAGTCACATGACTCCCTTCCTCCTGATCCCTTTAGGGGGCGGGCCACCAAACCAGTTCTTAAAGAGACCGCGTCCTCTAGCACAGATGTCAACACAAGTTGGAACAGCATCAGGAAGACTGAAGGTAAGCCTGCAAAGCATTCCAGACCAGCTGTGCAAACACACTCCTGCCTCTCCTCAGACACCCTGCCAGTCCCATCCAAGTTACCTGTGGTGAGCATGCCCAGATGTAAATTCCATATGGAACCTGTACATTGCTACTCTGTGGTAGGAAGGTATAGAGGAACTGTTGTATTAGATTGATTTAAAGGAACCCTTTCCAGGGTGGGGGTGGCTCACACCTTTAATCTCAGCATGCAGGAAGCAGAGGCAGGAGGATCTCTGGAGTTCAAGGCCAGCCTCTTCTACAGCCTGATCTACTAGTTCCAGGACAGCCAAGGATACACAGAGACCCCAGCTGGGAAAACAAGACAAAACAAGAACCCTTGGGGGGCTGCATGGTGGTGGCGCACACCTTTAATCCCAGCACTCAGGAGGCAGAGGCAGGGGCAATTTCTGTGAGTTCGAGGCCAGCTTGGGCTACAGAGTGAGTTCTAGGGAAGGCGCAAAGCTACACAGAGAAACCCTGTCTCAGAAAAAAAAAAAAAGAAAAAAAAAGAACCTTTGGGGGCCAGCAAGATGACTCAGTGGGTAAAGGTGCTTGCCCCAAGTTTGACATGACCAAATGGTGAAAGGTGAAAAATAATTCCCAGAAGCCATACCCTGACTTACACATGCATTTTGGAGTATGTGTTGTCACCCATTGACTACATAAAATGAGTAAGATAAAATGTGCAATAATAATAATAATTAAAGAATTCTCAGGTATGGTAGTCTCAAAAAACAGAAACAAGTCTGGGGTGGTGGCTTGCTTCTGTAACCCCAGCTTTTGGAAGTCTGGGGTTGGAGGGCCACCGTGAGTTTGAGACCAGCCTGGATTACAGAGTCAGCTCCAGCTAGAATGAAGAATTGCCTTTAAAAAGGGGGCGGGGGGCAGGGGAGGACTGGAGAGATGGCTCAGAGGTTAAGAGCACTGGCTGTTCTTCCAGAGGTCCTGAGTTCAATTCCCATCAACCACATGATGGCTCACAACCATCTGTAATGAGATCTGGTGCCCTCTTCTGGTGTGCAGGCATATATGCAAACAGAACACTGTATTGTCTACATAATAAATAAATTTTAAAAAAAACAAAAAACAACCTGGAAGGGCTAAATAGCATGCATGAAGCCCTGGGTTTATTCTCCAGCACCATATAAAAATAGGATATGGTGGTCCAAGCCAGCCTGTAATGCCAACCCTCAGGAAGTAGACACAGGAGAATCAGAAATTCAAGTTCTGGGGCCTGTGAGATGGCTCAGCAGGTAAATGCACTTGACAAACAAGCTGGATGACCTGAGTTCAACCCCAGGGACCCACATGGTGGGAGAGAGAACCAACTTCTGAAAGTTTGGCGCGCGCATGCATGTGCACACACACACACACACACACACACACACACACACACCCACCCCACATAATGAAAACACCCCGAGGGTTCCTTTTGATGATGTATTTATTGGAATCCCAGGTACGAAAGTTTTCTTACTGGAAGAGTGCTGTGGGATGGTCTGTATGTCAAATGTGTTGCTCTGATTGGTCAATAAATAAAACTGATTGGCCAGTAGCCAGACAGGAAGTATAGGTGGGACTAACAGGAGAACTGAGAGAACAGGAAGGCAGAGGAGACACTGCCAGCAGCCGCCATGACAAGTAGCACGTGAAGATGCCGGTAAGCCACGAGCCACGTGGCAAGGTATAGATTTATAGAAATGGATTAACTTTTTTTTTTTTTTTTGGTTTTTCGAGACAGGGTTTCTCTGTGTAGCTTTGGAGCCTCTCCTGGAACTCACTTGGTAGCCCAGGCTGGCCTTGAACTCACAGAGATCCGCCTGGCTCTGCCTCCCGAGTGCTGGGATTAAAGGCGTGCGCCACCACCGCCCGGCAGAAATGGATTAATTTAAGATGTAAGAACTAGATAGTTAGAAGCCTGAGCCATTAGGCCAAACAGTTTAAATAATATAAGCGTCTGTGTGTTTATTTTATAAGTGGGCTGTCAGACTGCTGGGGCTTGGCGGGAGCTGGAGAGAAATTCTCCAGCTACAGAAGAGCTCACAATTTTATTATGAAGTTACCACAGATAATAATCTAAGAGAGCAATACAACAATTTGTCAAAACATGTGCTAAAGGCATGCTCTTTTTTTTTTTTTTTTTTTGGTTTTTCGAGACAGGGTTTCTCTGTGTAGCTTTGCGCCTTTCCTGGAACTCACTTGGTAGTCCAGGCTGGCCTCGAACTCACAGAGATCCGCCTGGCTCTGCCTCCCGAGTGCTGGGATTAAAGGCGTGCGCCACCACCGCCCGGCAGGCATGCTCTTTTTTATTAATTTTGTTTTGTTTTGTTTGAGACAGGGTCTCTCTACATAGTCCTGGCTGTCCTGGAAATCACTATACAAACCTGGGTCCCCTGGAAGAGCAAAAGTGCTCCTAACCACTGGACCATCTCTCCAGCCCCAGCTTAACTGTTAGACAAATTTGAACCAAGTGTCCTGGCAAAGCCTTTAATCCTAGCTAGTCAGTGCTATATAGAACACATTGTTTCAAAAAAAAAAAAAGATCACCTACTTGAGAATGCTGATTATACCCCCAATCTGGTAGCAGTGTTTTTTGTTTTGGTTTTGGGGGTTAGTCTGTGTAGCCCTGGCTATCCTGGAAGTCACTCTGTAGACCAGGCTGGCCTTGAACTCAATGATCCTCTTACTTCTGCCTCCTGAGTCTTGGGACTAACAGCATGTGCCATCACCACTCTGTGGGATCTTCTGTTTTAAAGATTATTTTGTTTTGCCGGGCGGTGGTGGCGCATGCCTTTAATCCCAGCACTCGGGAGGCAGAGCCAGGCGGATCTCTGTGAGTTCGAGGCCAGCCTGGACTACCAAGTGAGTTCCAGGAAAGGCGCAAAGCTACACAGAGAAACCCTGTCTCGAAAAACCAAAAAAAAAAAAAAAAAAAAAAAAATTTTGTTTTGTTATTGTTATTTGTTTTGTTATTATTTGTTATTTTGTTTTGGTGCCTGTCCTGGATCTCGCTATGTAGACCAGGCTGGCCTCAAACTCACAGAGATCCACCTGGCTCTGCCTCCCGAGTGCTGGGATTAAAGGTGTGTGCCACTACCACCCGGCTTTGTTTTTATTTATGTGTGCATGCCACATGTGTGGGTGTATCTGAGGATAAAAGAGGGACTTTCTCCTGGAGCTGGAGTTAGCTATGAGCCACCCAATGTAGATGTTAGGAATTGAACTTGCTTCCTCTTGGAGAGCAGTAAGCTCTTACACACTGAGACCTGGCATCACACTGTAGTCTAGACTGGCCTTAGACCCAGAAGAATCCTGTTTTGTAGCAAGTCCAAATAAAGACATGGAGACTTATTTAAATTTGAAAGCTTGGTCTTAGTTTAGGCTTGTCCCACTAGCTCTTATAAGTTAACTCATTTATTTATTTATTTACTTTTTGGTTTTTTGAGACAGGGTTTCTCTACGGAACAGTCCTGGCTGTCCTGAAACTCACTTTGTAGACCAGGCTGGCCTCGAACTCACAGATCCACCTGCCTCTGCTTCCCAACTGCTGGGATTAAAGGTTTGCGCTGCCACCCCTTGGCCACCACCACCCAGCCCAACCTATTTATTTTAGTCTATGTTCTGTCATATGGCTTGTTACCTCATCTCTCTGTACTGTTCATGCTGCTTTCTCTGTATCTGGCTGGCGACCCAGCCTTTCTTCTTCCCAGAGACCTCTCTGTCCCCAGAAGCACCTAACTCCTTCCAGCCTAGCTATTGACCATTCAGCTCTTTATTAAACTAGTCACAGTGACACATCTTCACACAGTGTAAAGGAATATTCTGCAACATTCTATCTCAGCTTCCTGAATGCTGGGTCACCGTGCCTGGCCTTTTAAATTAATGTGATGTCTGTAAGTGCAGGTCAGCCATATCTGATGGGAATGGCAGAAGTCACAAAGCCAGCACAATTGCTTGACAAAGATTCAGTAAAGCTGAGCCTCATGATGGCCGCCATGCCACCTTTGGTTTTCATCTTCATCTGTTACATACTTGGGGGACTTTTAATCTTTGTACAATTTGGGGATATTGGATTGATGGAAAATTTCTTATGAATCATTTATGCCTTCTCCCAGGAGTACTGCTTCTAAGCTTCCCCCAAGAAAGTCCTGTACACACTGCCCCTCCTGCTTTTAGGGGGATATCCTTATCTACTTGAAGGTCTTCCTTACCTTGGAGGTTGTGACACATAAAAAAGGCAGAGGTCTCTTTATGAGGCTATGAGACATTCTTGAAACATCTGTCCCTATACTTACTCAGGAACAAAGTAAACTTAAAAAGTCAACAAGATTCAGTGGACTAGAGGAGTTGACCACAGTTCAGATTGCAAACCTCTTCCCACTATACACTCAGGCAATTACGTGGCATATACAGCAACAAAGTTAGATTAGCTCGTTACCTCCACCCTACACAGAGACTTATTGATGAGCAAAGTATGGAATGGAAAGATGATAAAAGAATGAGATGTCAGGACCTTTCTTCAAAAAGTTAGCACATGCCGGGCGGTGGTGGCGCACGCCTTTAATCCCAGCACTCGGGAGGCAGAGCCAGGCGGATCTCTGTGAGTTCGAGGCCAGCCTGGGCTACCAAGTGAGTTCCAGGAAAGGCGCAAAGCTACACAGAGAAACCCTGTCTCGAAAAACCAAAAAAAAAAAAAAAAGTTAGCACAAGCAGAGCCACTATGGTATCATTTGACCAAAGAACAAAATGCCAGGATTAGACATATAGATAACTTCTATAAAGATATAAAAACCTTAGGCCAGAATTTGAGTAACTGCAGCAGCTTTGGCCTGAGGACTTTCTTGGGCACTCTGATCACCGCTTGG